ATTGACAGGGGCTTTTCACCCAACATTATTAATCAAGCAGTTAAAAAATTCTCATCTCAACACACTAAAAGGCACACTCTTGTTTTAGGAGATTATAAAAATTCTGTTGTCATTCCCTTCTTTCCATCAATTAGCTATAAAGTTGCACATATTTTGCAGAAATTTAACTTTCGGGTTGTTTATTCTCCCATCAATAAAATTCCGAGTTCCATACTTAAGGACCCCCATTCCGGATATGAATTCCTGGGGTATTTATAGGATTCCTTGCCAGTGTGGTTTAATTTACATTGGCCAAACTAAGAGAGCCTTAAAATTTCGCGTTCAAGGAACGATGAGGCATATGTTAGAAAAAAGGAAACAACAGAAGTCTTCTGTTGCTCAACATTGTTGGTCCGAAAATCACACTTTCAATTTTTCTGCTGCCAAAATTATTCAAAAAACATCTTCCATTGGAGAACTGGATTTTTTAGAGGCATTTCACATTCATAAAAATCTTTCTGTTCTAGTTAACGATCCTAATTCCAATCCAAATTTGCCTTCGGCCTTTAAAGAAATTATGTTTTAGTTCTGGTTTCACCAACAGATGGCGCCACTTGCTTATTCTTGTCCATGCTTTCTTATTTTATCTAATCATTATTTCCTATCTTGTTCATTTGCGGTTTTGCAGCTGAGGATGGTGGTTCGGTTAACCATCGAAACTAGTCTTGTGAAAATTTTTGTAAATATAACGCTGATTTTTGTTGTTTGACGTTTGACTTCTGAATTAGTAAATAAAGAATAACAAAAGGGTTCCCCTCCCCCCTTTTTTTGAATGCCCGTTAAAACCTGAAACTTTTCAGATTCCTTTTGGTCAATTATTCATTCATTTTTGTCCACTTTTCCTGGCCATGTTCCATAGAGGACTAGCAATTTTAATTTTGGAAATTAGGCTCTGTTTGTAATATTAGAATAAATTATGGAGAATCGATTTAAGCGCAATATCACATTGATTCGGAAATAATGCCATTAAATATTGATGGTAATTCGCTATCGACTGATGCGCGTATTTGCTTCCCAGGATTTCTTTGTTCTATAAGCTTCTTTTTAAAAATTATTATACTATATGTATGTAAGCATTTTCTTTCTGCAGAAATTGAAAATGTGATGTTAGAGCTGTGGCTCTTGCATCCAAGATGAGAAATATGTACTATTTATAAAAGTATTCGAGCCGATAATTGGTGACTGAGAGTTTCAACACAGGATGAATCTTTCTCCATCGAAAATTTTAATTGAACGAAGGATGCTGCATGCAAGTGTTTTATATCCTCGTATATAAAATTTTTTTCTCATGTTATTTTGCATGTCTTTTTCATTCAGTTTCTTTCTGCTGAAACTTTTCTTTTGTTATATTATACTATTATAATATGATTTGCATTGCACTACATATTTATTGATGTAGTGCAATGCAAATCATATTATAATAGTATAATTTTCATATTTTAGTTTAATAAATTTCATATTTTAGTCATATACTATTTCATTGAGTCATACACTATTTCTGATTGATTGCATCCTTTATAGCAACTCTGTTTCAAAAAGTCATTTTTTATGCTGAGAGCACTGTTATTTTGCATATTTTAAAAATATTTTATTGCAATCAGTTGAAGATGTCTCTAAAATTTCATCAGTGTATTATTTCAGTCGGTAGTGGAAATTCATAACCTGGCCTCAGTAACCGTTAAATCAGCTTCTTTTTGGAAAGTTGTAACAAGCCACCTTATGGTTTGCCCAGCTCGAGGCTCGATTTGGTGTTTTTACAGTTGATTCCACTAAATTTAATCATGTTGTTTCCACCATCGGAACCAGTATTCTTAATAAAATGAGCGATTTATTTTCTTCGCTGAGTTAAAAAGTACAAAACTCTCAAAAACTCTGAGAGTCAGCTGCATGGGTGCGAGCTTTGCCACCAACTTACATTGCAGTTATTTTCCTATATCCCACATTTCGGTGGAGATACTGCCAGAGGAGCAGTTGTTATCTCTTTGTTATCTTTGTTAAAATCTCTTTGGCGTCAATGCCTCCTTCTGAACATCCAAAGCATTTTTGCCGCTTGCATAAGCAATGAGTTCTTCCAACTCACTATTGTCGCAGTTAAAATTATGGATGTCACCTGGCCTCCCAAATACTATCAGAGCTACAATATCACCCCCTTATCAACTTGAGCAGCAGACTGAAAAATTGGCAAAATATGTCATTGAATTCTTGATAGGCAATAGCTGTAAATAATCAGGGCAATGCTCAGGGGAGCGTTGTAGAAATGTTTCAAGGAACAACAGAAGACGCTATCGGTAACACAGGGAGCAGAATAACAATCATACGAACTTTGGCTCCAGAAAAAGAAAATGTGTTTGCCCATTGAAATTACCAGATGGAAACTAAGTCAGAAGTCGTTCGATAGCCAACTCCACGATCGATATATTAGCCGCTTTCTCTTGGCTGAATTATTATCGAAATTTAAACTTCCAATTGATACTGTTAATTGTTAGTTACTCCAATATGGCACCCAAGCAGTTCTGAATCATTAGTCATTTTACTGCTAATGGCACGAAAATTAAAGCTTTTGATACCCCCACCTGCAGCCGAGCGATAAAGTGGTTAAGCACCGTATTTCGACTTGGTTTCGGTTCCAGGAAGACGAGCTAGCTGCACTGGCATTTTCGTTGTTTTCCTCGTGTTATAATGTGGAGCCCATATTTCCAGATTAGGCAGATTCCCTTCTGCCAAGTGGAAAAGACACTTCCACGAAGGAGTCTCTTCCCTTTGGCAGATAGCCCGCGCGTGTGTTGCCATAAGCAAACATATCAAACCAACTTTTGGTACAAAACTTGTAACTATTAATTTAAATCTGCAATTTGGCTTGAGTATTTAGGACTGCTGGCATAAACCAAATAATCATAAGTACTGACTTCCTTAAGAAGTTTTATTTACTCGAAGATGTGAAAAATAATTGCTCGATTGATGAAAACAGTGGAGGGATGATGGATTCTTGTAGCAGTATTTTTAAAGGTTAGCACTAACATTCATATTTTAGTGAGTGACTCAAAATATGATAAAAGAATTACTGGTTATTAATTACTAATTAATCCGTCACAATTTATCGGCAAATACAAACACTGAAGCATTTACATCATATTGAGACTAAAGGTTTTCAGATTCCAGACATCTATTAAAATCAGTTAAAGCCGCTAGTCAAAAAATCCAGTTCCTTATGCCCCAATGTACCATCCTCACTCCAAAATGTCTTTAGGAGAGTCTCCACCATATGCTGCATAAAACAATGGCGACTATCGTCGTAAATTAGCATATGTATGTAAGTAAACATTTCCGTGCATCAGCAAGTAAAGATAATAACTTTGAAAATGTTTTTATCGTCTTCTTGTGCATTCAAGATTAGAAATGTAAAATACTTCTATAAGCAATAGAACCGAATATTTATAAAGTCAATTAAGCAGATGAAAATGAAATTTTATAAAGATGCGGTAACAAAAGCTATGCATTTCCACAATTTCATAAATTTATGTAAAACTGATAAATTTAAATTAGAGGAGAAATGCAAACACAGTTTAGAATATATATTTCACATTATTCGGAATGATCTTATATGTTACAATTGAAAAGTTCGTATGAACGTAATAAAAAGGAAATATTGATTAGTCAATTTGTTTCAGTCAAAAAGCGCAGTCAACTAATCCACAAGGAAAAAAAAAAAAAAAAAAAAAAAAAGATTTTTTCCCAAAATATTATATGCGTTTAAAAATGTGAAATCAGTTACTATGTTGGAGATTTAAAGATGTCCAAGCAAATATACGAAAAACCCAACTCTTATAATAATAAGCTCCCACCAATGACAGTTTCTTTAAAGGCTGCTGAATATTGGTAATTTATTCTGATATCGAATACAGGCGAGAGGGTAGCTTGCATGATCAGTTTTCGCGGCTTTCCTCATGTGTAACGTGAATACGAGTCAGTTTTGCTTAAAAAGTTCTCTACGAAAGCATCCTATCTATGAGGCAAATACCCTCAGTTTTTTCTGCCATATTCAAATAATATCTAACCTTCACGAAAGCATTCCTCCCCTTTCAAAGATAGACCTCCTGAGCTTCTTTACTGTAATCATATAACCTAATAATAATATTTTCGAATTTACGAGCTTTCTATATGCGGAGAAATTGTTTTCTTTTGAGTCGAATTTTCGAGAAATTTTGTTAAATAAACCACTAATTATTTCAGCTTGTAAATAATTTTAATCGAATTCTCTTTATTTTTTTCTTAATATAAAGAACATCAACTTACATGTGAATTCGTAACTTGCATAAACACCAGCAATATTTGTAAATTAAAAGTGAAGCTTTAAAGGCTGATTCAATCATTTTGTCAACATCAACATCAATTCTACCAGAATCAAATTTAATCAGCCTTAAGGCTAATCAGTAACTGATAAGATAATTAAACACAACGCTATCTGAATAAACCAAAAGAAACTGAATTACGGATCTTTGAAAAATTGTTTACAAATCTTAAGTAGAAAGATTTCCGATTTAGACCTTAAAATTGGTGAATTAAAATTTTTTATTGTGTGCATTATATTATTTTATGTATTATGCAGTACTGAAAAATATTAATGCACTAATACTATATAACCAATTTTCGAATGCATATAGCGGTAACTTTCTTTCATTAACAGAATTCTTTACATATTTGGTACAAGATAACATTGCCCTTTATGAAAACTCTCAATAGGCCCTGAGTGTTATTCTGTTTTCTTTTGTGGAGAATAAAATTGTAACTAATGTTAAACAATTTATACTGGAATAGTAATAAGAACGCGTGAAACAGTAGCAAACTTTCGTGCACAAAATTACTGAGCGATTTGCAATGTCTTTCACGTGAGGTCCCGTAAAAGAATCTTATCTTTATATGATAAGTTATCAAAAACACTTCTTCGCATCGCTAATCGTTTTCATTTCTGCTGACAGCGTGTGCCTTGCTGGACGCTTAAATATTTACACTTCTTGTACTCACCGTACATATCCCTAGTTACTTCATTCGGTAAGCATACTTACTTCACTTCGTTAAATTCTTCTTTCTCTGAAAATTAGCTTAATTGTAACCAAAGGAAAAAACACTAAATTTTAAAAAATACTTAAATCTACTCTTCATATTTACATTATGGTTTAATAACAGAAAAGACTTATTTATTTAACAGAAGGATTAATTAAAGAAAAATTAAATTTACGATCTACGAATTATCAGTAATTATAGATGCGTAGTTTTCCAGAAAGCTAAGAAATGTTCAGTGAAGGGAACCAAAGTCTAAAAGAAATGTTATTGAGGCAAAATCGAAAAATGAATACGATTTCCCACTGAAACGATCACGATATTATTAAGAAAAACGTATTTTCATTTAGACAGTTGGGAGTGTGTTATTAGAGCGAAAATAATTAATTTGTAAGATCCTAATGCAAATGAAAAAAAAAAAACTTCTTATTTTGCCAGGTTTTTTTTTTCATCAAATAACGAATGCGGTATTTTTGCATGACCTAGCAATGTAACTCCTTTGAAAAATTAAGAAAATATTTTAAAGTTCGAAAAATATTTTTACATTTTATACATTTAACTATGATGCTATTATTTATCAAAGAGTTTGACTTTAAATATTAATTCGTATATTACATTTATCTGAGCTGTATTTAGATACATTTAAAATTTTATTAACATTTCACATTCTATTTTATTACTAATCAGTTAAACGGAAAATATAAGTATGTTGATGAGAGCAACATTATATAGTCTCGATTATTCCCCACTCCGTTATATGCAATATTCACGAAAATGTAATTCATTTTAGAAGTTGTATTGTTTTTATTATTATTATTATTTTAATATTTATAGAGGACTTAATACCACTTGTTTCAGTATCCTTTACAATGCAATCCTTCTTACGATATAACTATCATAGAAAGTACTGGGAATTTTCTTGATAAGGCGGCCAAATCGTCCAGTCGGCAAAATCGAAATTTAGTTACCAGAACTGGCAAAATGAACTGACGTTTGTACATACTGATAAAATAAAGGACTATTTTCTTCCAAAATGGATTGTCAATTGGATTTAAAAAGAATTCAAAAGAGTTTTTTTTGTGTCGTCTGTAGGTACGTATAGATGCATGTATCCGGCCTTTATTTTCGCAATCGTTGGTCATACTCATGTACTTCCAATTATATAGAAGTGTTTCAAATGAGGAAAACATTCGTTTTTGGCAATTCCATAATTAAAAAAAATTCAGTTTCGACAGGTTAGAAGAATTTGAGGAAATACGTTTAAATGAAATGCAGCAAAAAATGTCTATAATTTAACAGGCCGTACATGTGTTGTCCATATCTTAATTTTTTTTTCTTTAAGGGCACAGAATTTTGCATACTGAACAAAAATGCAAAAAATGGCCACTAATTTATCAGGAGGTAAAGTATTTGAAGACACAAGTAGATAGGTTAGTTTACTCTAATATCCCAAAGCATACGAAGGCTGTCTGTCTAAGGGAAGAGATGCTTTCGTGGAAGACTTTATGAGGGAAACTGGCTGATACTTACGTAACACATGAGAAAAACTATAAAAACCAAACGTGCAGCCAGTCCGTTCGCTTTAGTTTGAACACAGGTAGAACAAGCAGTCTCAGCGGTTTTAAACACTCGGCCACTGGTAGGTGCAGGTAGAAAAGCTGAAGGAGGAAGAAATTCTTAGTACCGATAATTTGTTTCCCTTTTCCAGAATTCCTTTTCTTATTACTTTGCGTTTCATATTTTTCTTGGTCTGAAGAATTAACTTCGATTAGATGGTGCAATAGACAATTAAATATGGGTCAAAACCAGAAATTACCAATGTTTGATTCTATAAATAGTAGCATTTCTTGAATTATGGCCTCGAAAAGATAAATGTTGGTTTCTCCCGTAATTTGGAATTTTTCCATTTTTGTAGCTTTCCGTTGCCATAGTGTTATTTTAGGTTTTGCTAGAAAAACTTTGAAATTTCACCAAAGCACTTGAGGTGGCTATTTTAACAAGAAAATGCCAAGCACTACATCCTAATATTCTAATGAGTCTATTTTTATTTTCCAGCGAAGTAATTTTCGCAGTATTGTCGTAAAAATGTAAAACTAGATACTAATTTCATGCGCAAAAATCATGCCAGCATTATACATCACTAGATTTGATATGAAATGCTGCCTCTCGTTCACTGGATCTATTTGAATAACTGACTTTCTGTAGTTTCGTACTATATAACATTATCGACATAATGTGACCTTCATTCAAAACCATTTATGTAGCCTATAAATCGGGATTCTACTGTAATATCTTTTCGGCTGATTCCCTTTTGGTTATGCCCACAGCAAGTTCTCACTACTTATTCTAATGATTTTATATGTATTGATAATTCGTAAATTCGTATCCATTTAATATCCCTAAACTGTCCTTAAATGCTGTTGAACTCCGTTAAGCTACTATTGATAACAAGTCAAGCTTTCCAAAAAAAAAATCCTAATGTCTAATCGAACCCGGACCTCTGTAATACCGGCCCAGTGTGCAAACTACTACACCACAAAGGCTTGCCAAGAAGGTGGATGAAATACGTTATAGAGCAATTAAAATTCGAAACTTTATTATACGTCTAAAACGGTGAGGATTCTATGTAGGTTTTTATATAACAAGACATAATAAATTGAGCAGAAATTATTTCGTGATCAAAAGCAATAAATTACTTCCCAGCCAGGCTACAAAACTGCAGTTAATGTACGGATAAGTTAAATATATAGATAAAAATAAAGCGCAGGAGTGAAATATTGTTAAGGGCCAATAAAGTTTATTATTTTCAAATATATTTATGATGGCCATTTTTCAAATATTTTGCTGTTTTTACGGGTTCTACAATGCAGATCTCTTCACAATTTTATATGATATGCTTATGCTCAGCTAATTTGAAAATGTACCGTTTGGGCGAATTTTTCATATCAGACACTGAACAGATTTTGAGAAGGGGGAGCAAGAGGAACGTAAGTAAACTTAAATAATCTAAATCATTGTTATAAATATAAATGCATTTAAATCTATAAACAGATCTTATACCGTAGTTATATATTTACCACAGGATTCAGATCAAAAGTCTCCATTTACACGACTAATTTCTGCTCCCCTGACAAATCTGATTAGCTATGCTATTCGGGCCTTTAGCATGTTTTACATTCATTACGTTCCTTTTTGCCTCCTATTTTCCCCACACTTAGCTGGACGTTTGAAATTATTCGGTACTTTATTGATCTGCATAGAATTCCTGCTTCTTCTTGCATTCATTTGGTAATTTACTTCTTAATTCTAATTAACTACAATTTAAAAATCATTTTTGCATCCAAATTATATATAATTCTCCAGGCATTCAATGTGTTGTAATTATCAACAGCTTATTCCGAAGGTCGTGATTTCCTGGCTTTAGTACAATATAAAGTTCTATTTAGTACTCATTTTGTCAACTTAGAAAGTCCTTCACGAAGGCATCTCTTCCCATAGGCAGATAGCCCTCGTGTGCTTTGCCGTCATCAAATAAACCAAACCATTTTGTAAAACATATTCTGTACATATTAGTGATATTATTATTACGGCATTGCGCCCTATGGTATTCGCCAAAGGGAGGGATGCCTCCAAGGAGGACTTTTAAGGGAAGCTGGCTTGTATACTATAAGGTATTTCCTCCCTTTCTCCAACATGCCTTTGGTGTAACGGTAGCACACTCGGCGCGTATTCGAGAGTTTCAGGTTTGAGTTCCTGCGAAGGCATTGCCCATTTTTCACGTCTCCTGCTTCAAAATAGCATAATGATTTTACAATCCATGTTACACATGGAGAAAATCACGAAAACGCCCATACAATCAGTCTATTCGCGGGATTCGAATCCCGGACTGAACTATCAGTATTCAGCGGCTTTAACACTGTTGAACCATTCTATACATATCGTCTACAGATATTTGTAAATCATATTCTTTACTGATCCGCAACAACATTCTCAAATTTTTGAAAATATTATAAATGCATAAATTCATGTAGCTGTGCTGGAGGCGTGATGTGATTACGGCAAAGCACGAACGGTTATCTATCTAACGGAAGGGATCCCTGCGTGAAGGACTTTTTAGGGAAAACCGGCTCTTATGCACCTTACACATGGTAAAAGTAATGAAAAGGTCCATCCAGCCAGTCTGTTCACCGGATTCGAACCCCTAATAACGGAACTAGAGTGTTCAGCAGCTTTACCGCTCGGTTGCTGTTGTTCTGGAAAACTACGCGGTACATATCTGAAAATGATACTGAATGTCAATAACATGTTCCTTTGTATTCAGATATCTATTTACTTTCCTAACTGCAGAAATTTTGGTTAAAACGATGACGTAAATAATACAATAAAGATCAATGCCTTAAATAGGATTTTTTTCTTAAAGATAATATATTGCGATAAAATTGTGTTCGCGGTAAATTATCGCTATTACGGGTTAACGACATTGTACGGGATTGTTCTTATAGAAATACGTTGTGTTGCGCCTGCGCGCGCATTTCATTACTAGCGTCGGCGCATGCTCCTTGAGCTCTTAGAGTTTTGTGACATGAGATTGTGAGCTAAGAGCGGGAGAGAGAATTCGTGGCTTCGAGTGGCCATGAACTATGTAAATTAATGAGAATTAAAGTGAGATATAATACAGTCCATTGTTCCTGAGTTTATTGAATTATAGTGTAGTGCCTGTGCAAAACATCGTGGTCCGTCGAGCCGGAGATCTATGGATGAGTTAGTTACAAGTAACAAGTAAGTCAGCAGTTTCGATTTAAGAATAAAGTGCCATTTTGTTATCTTGAGATACTGTGTAAGAGTTTTGAGAAAATTTATATACTGTGTTTAAGTAATTGAGAAGAATTACTTATTATCTTGTGTTATTTCATTAAGAGTATAATGTTGATAAAAGGTGCACTTAAAGAGGATTTAAAGCTATTGGCTTTAGAACTGAATATAGAATTAAG